CGTTTCAGGAGCCTTCGCGGCACCAACATCTAGCATCTTCTCCCTGGAGCCTTTTGACTCCTGTCATATTCACGCGGCAGGGTGCGCAGTCATGGTGCCCGCCACAGATGAGGAGGTCCAGGCTGGCCCGAATCTGTCCAGGTCCTGCGACTTGGGGACATCAGCACCAGGCCCCCCTCACTCCGGGGTTGGGACGGCAGCTCCTACTCGCAGCCCGGGGATCGCAGGTGACTCCCAGCACAGAGGCCGGTGCCCAGGCCCTGACCACTGGCCCAGGGAACAGGCTAGGCGCAGAGGGCCAGGCAGTGGGGACACCTCGAGTGAGTGTCACAGGGCCCCTGACTGCGGCCCCTCCCTCCACCTCCAGACTCTGGAAGACGGACCCAGCCCTGGAAGAGGCAGGCGACTGCTTTAGGAAGGGATGGGTGGACTTTACCCAGCTGCTTCCATCGTCCACCAGAGGGCACCCAGGGCAACACCTGCGTTGGAGCAGTGCCTGAAGGAGGGCTCTGTGCCAGGTTTCACTGGGCAGAGGGGACAGAGGCCTGGCGGTGGCTGTTCCCTCCCAGAGAATACACTTCCCCACCCACAGGGGCTGCACTCAGAGCCTCCACAGGGCAGGTTCAAGTGTGCTCAGGGGCAGCACCCTGGCCCGGGTCCCATCCCCACACCTCCCTTGGGCTGGCCCCAAGGACCAGAGTGAAGGGACACCATCACTGCCATCCCTGGAGACCCTTCCCAGGTTCTGCTCACTGGGGAGAAAGCGCTTTCAGAAATGATTAATTAGCCAAGCTCGTGGGAGTCTCAGAGTTCCCAGGCCATCTTCAACTGTGAAGGCAGCTCAAATATTTTAAATGGTCAATTTACCTCCCTTACAAATTAGCCTACACATTCTTTTTTCTTTTTTAATATTTATTTGGTCGCTCCAGGTCTTAGTTGCGGCAGGCAGGCTCCTTAGTCTCAGCACATGGGCTCCTTAGTTGCAGCATGCATGCGGGGTCTAGTTCCCTGACCAGGGCTCGAAGCCGGGCGCCCTGCACTGGGAGCGAGGAGTCTTAACCACTGCGCCACCAGGGAAGCCCCTGTCCCACATTCTATAACAGAAGTTTCAGGTCTGAGAGAGCACAGGGCATCCCCCTGCAACCCAGATGGCCATCCCTTACCCCTGTGCGCCCAACCCTGCCCCTGGGCACAGAGGACGCGGGGGCCAGGCCGCCGCCCTGTTGGTCTCACTCTCCCGTGCCAGACCCATACCAGCTGCCCACCTGTCCCACAGCTCCCGTGGAGCCTGTCTCCCCCTGCATGAGGTGCTGGGGGTAGAGAGGGACAAGCCACCATTCCCACTCTCTGGCCAAGGAAACAAATTAAGGAAACCAATACAAACAGTAATGATAAAACTTAATTTATTAAGCAACTACTATGTGCTATGCGGCAACGAGGCCCCCACATGGCAGCCGAGGCCCGCTCCCGGGGGCCCCGCCAACGTGCCCCAGCCCAGCTGTGCGGCCCACGGAGACGGCAGCAGCCCCACCCCCACCGGTGGCGTCTGGAGCACGGCCTCTGGTCCCAAATCAGGGAGAGCAGCGCAGGGCAGGTTCCGGCCTGCAGGCCAGCTGGCCAGCTACAGGGCCACTGGAGTTTGCTGAGACACGGCTCACCTCCACCTCAGGACCTCTGGCAAAATCAACGTCCCCTGTGGTTCTCACCTGCGTCGCACCTGCACTAATGCTATGCTTGGTCACCACAAGCAAAACCACCTGAGCACGCGGCCCAGGCGCCCCAGATCAGGCTGGCTCTCCCAGCCCCGCCAGTTTTGGCGCCCGTACCTGCTCCCTGCAGACCAAAGGCAGGACCACCCAAGACTTCCTCAATCTTTGAGACCCTTCCTACCCCTGCTCCTTGGTTCTCCTTGTCTGGTACACCCCTCCCCCACGCATCCTCTTTTACGAGTTGAACTGTGTCCCTCAAAATGATACGTTCAAGTCCTAACTCCCAGTGTCTGTGATCAGGGCCTTATTTGGAAATAGGGTCTTTGCAAATGTAATCAACTTACATTTGAGGTCACACGGATTCGGGTGGGCCCTAAATCTTGTGACTGGTGTCCTTATGAGAAAAGGGAAATTGGACACAGAGACACACACAGGAAGAGGGGCCACACGAAGATGGAGGCAGAGGTGGGGGGGACGCATCTGTGAGACAAGGAGCTCCAAGGGCTGCCAGCAAACCCCAGGAGCTCAGAGGAAAGCCTGGAACAGATCCTCCCTCGGAACCCCGGGAAGGAACCAACCCTGCCAACACCGTGACTTCGGACTTCTGGCACCTGGAACTGTAAGAAAATTAATTTCTGCTGTTTTAAACTACCCCGTTTGTGGTAATCTGTTACGGCAGCCACAGGAAGCGAATACAACTGCCTATCCCAAACACTTGCACTAATGGAACCAGTGTCACAGATGCTCCAGCATGTACCAGACACTGACTATGCCGGACACTGTGCCAACCTGGGAACACAACAAGAACAGGTCAGCAACACGAAAACCTGGGAGCCCAAGTGATGTGTCAAAGTGCTGTACTCACCACATGACTGCCAAGGGGGCATGAGGAGGGGACATTTCAGTGGGGCCTTGAAGGCTGAGTACGAGTTTGCCGGGCAGGCTCCTATCCAAACATACTCTAAGGACAAGAGTATACTTCTTGCTCTCTGACTACCTTGCACGCTTCCAAGGAACCCCTGGCTTTTCTCCATGCTCTGAGCATGAGCACGTGCTGTGGACACAGAGTGCAGAACACGGACCTCTCGTGCCCTCTCAGGACACCAGTAAAAGAGCCCCGGGTATGTATATTTACGGACAAAACACCAAGGTGAGTACACAGACTGCGAGCCCTACCAGGTCAAATCAGGTGACAGCCTAAGGTGAAGACCCATCTCCAAAGGTCAGCAGGCAGATTTCCTGTCCCGGGATGCAGTCTTTCTGATCTGAGGTTTGGAAGCAGTGCTCCAACACACACTTTTGCCTGGAGACTTTGCGGAGCTTTAATAGGGGGTGGGTGCAAAGTGCAAATAACTGGATGAATGTTGACGCCAAGGCACCTTCAGGAACAGTGACTACACTCATCACACTTAAGCTCCATAAAGCCAGGGTCTGCAGAGGCCCTTGGGCTGCCAGCATGTGCATCTGAGCCACAACACTTGACTCCGCCCAGCCCATTGTCCCACCCAGAAGTCACTGTCGGGGCAGAGCCGTTGTCTGGGCTCTACCTTAGCAGTGGGCACTCAGCCACCCTATACCTGTCCCCTGATTGATAAAATGCGGATGACAATAAGCACCACGAGAAAGTAAATGAACTAAGACCTGCAAAGCCCTCAGAATAAGGCCTGGTATACAGTAAGCACCCCATAATTGTTGACTAAACAAATAAAAACACCCCACTTTTAAACCTGTATTTCTCCTGCTCCTCAAGTCACCTCTTTCCTATTTAGCGTTTACTGAGGATTCTCATTTGTCAAAACCAGTCACAGCAAAAGTAGTCTCAAAATAGCCAAGAGGCTGAGGACAAGTCCCCCAGGTCCTGTCACATCATCAAGAAAGAAGGGCTATGACCATCAAGGTGAGTCCCTTGGGGAAAAAGGAGGCTCATGGAAACCAAGGGATACTGCCAAGGACCCCAGATTAGAAAAGAAAACAACGTAGCTACCAAACACACTGAGAAAATTCAAACGGGAACGACTAACACTCCCTTTCTTCTGAGCTTATCTTCTAAACACAAACAGCAGGAAAATTTAAATCTCAATTTCAAAACTTAAGGCTTTGTTAAAGGTGCCCCCAAGCCCAGGAGAAGGTTATCTCTAGAAAACCACGAGGCCAAACTTACAGAACGCGGGCAAGGCTGTAAAGCGAATCTGTAAAGTTTCTGTTAGGTGAGAAGGTTGGCCAGGTGTCACGCTGAAAAACAATTTGACACTCGAATAAGGGCGGCGAAGCTTGGCCAGCAGGTCAGCCCCGAGGTGTCGCGCGCTCCTTAAAGGGCTGCGGGGCTGCTGGAACGTCGTCCCACACTCTGGATGCGCCCCTTTGTGCCTCGGACTGCCAACACCTAAGGCGGCGGGCGTGGCCGGGTCCCCGTCGCCCCATGCGCCCCGTGGCGCCTCCACCAGTCAAGCTGCGCGCAGGGACCGGGGCCGCCCACCTCGCAGAGCCACGGCTTTCACCAGCCAGGCGGGTCCCCTTAGCGCGCCAAGCGGCCAGCGGACACCACCCCGCGGGTACCCGGTCCCGCCGCCTTGCGCCCCTGCCCGCAGCCCCTGGTCCCGAAAGCGGCGGGTCCCCACTGTGCCTGGCGCGGCCCGGGGTAGTTCACGGCTTGCCTCCGCCGACAACACCGCGCGGGCCGCCCCGCGCCCCCGCCCAGGCTGGCGCACGCCGACCGCGAAGCGCGCGCCGGGCCACGGCGGGGTCGCGGCGGTCGGCTGCACCCCGGCTTTGTTCGAGCCCCGCGCCCGCCCGCTGCCCTCGACCCGGCCCGGCACCCGCCCGCACCCCGCGGCCCCGCAGCCCCGGCCCGCGGCCCCCAGCCCACCTTCTGGATGGTTTGCTGCGTGACCTCCCCTTTGCCTCTCGGCCGGGCGGACGCGAAGGCCACCGACATGGTCGTGGGTGCGGGATCAGCCCGAGATCATCGGGGTTTATTCTCCAGCTGCTCTCGGCGGCCAGAGGCGCTCATTCTCCGCAGTCGCTGGGGGGCGGGGGGCGTGGGGGGCGCCGCGCCGTGGGCTCGCCCGCCCCTGCGCCGCCGCGTTGCCCTCGGGCCCGCCGCGCCGCCACCCCGCCCAGCGCCTTAGCCCGAGGACAAGCCCCACACGGCGCCCCCGGGCGGCCGCTCTGCGCCCCGCTCCTGGCCCGCCGCCACCCCGGCGCCCCCCGCGCCCGGCCGCCAGTGGTTCCGCCCGGCCCCGCCCCGGCGCGCGCGCACGTCCGCCCGACGCCGCCTGACGCCTCCGGACACCGCCTTACGCCGGCAGCGCAGTCCCCGGCGCTGGGGGCGGGCGGGCGCGCGGGGTGGGCGCAGCGGCGTCGTGAATCGCGGCCTACGGGGCCGTGAGTGTGCGCTTTTCCTGGTCCTGATCGCGTCTCCCCGCCGGCATGAGCTACGACCGCGCCATCACCGTTTTCTCGCCCGACGGCCACCTCTTCCAAGTGGAGTACGCGCAGGAGGCCGTGAAGAAGGGCTCGACCGCGGTGAGCGGGGAGGCCGGGCGCCGGGGCAGGCGGAGGCCCGGGCGGCTGGGTGGGGCCCGGGTGCGTCTTGCCGACCAGCTTCCCTGGGGTCTGCGCTGACGGGCGCGCGGTGGTGTGGGGCGCACTCGGAAGCCGCGACTTGGGCGTCGCTGTGGGAAAGGGGCGCTGCGAGCCGCGGGCGGCAGACGTGAGGACAGGCGGGGCGGCTCTCTGGGCGCCGGCTTCCGCGTCCGGGCGAGCGGGGCGGCTAGTGGCTCGGCAGGCGCTCTGCAGGCCGCTGGCTTCGGTGCCCCGCGTCCGTGTCCGGAGCCGTGCGCGCGCTTGGCGCCGACGCCATTTTGGCGGGGGCCCTCACGTGGACCTGGGGGGTTGGGGGCCAGGCGGGGCCGGGGCGCGGGACTCTGAGAGGCAGGGCCCGCCCGTTGCCCGCTCAGGAACGCTCCTTAAGGGAGTAAGTGACTCCGCGAACCGTGTCTGGACAGCTCCCAGGTAGCCAACTACCCCCCAACCCCCGCAGAAAGCAGTTGTCCTCAAAGTCCGGGTCGGCCTCGAGAACAAAGGGCGGCCGGTGTCGGCATCAACCCTGCAGTTCCCGGGCCGCCGGCGCGGCGGGCAGGCTCTGTCTTGGGCCTGCGCCAGACCCATGTCCCGTCGCACCCGAGCGCGCCTTTCATTTAGACCAGTGCTTCAGATATAATAAATACATGCTGTTCTCAAGACACATGTCAGTTTGCTGATTGGTCAGAATGGATGATGGTTTATCTTTTATCTGGTGTTTCAGAGGTTTGAGTGGGCAGAGAGAGAACACACACGATTCTGTAAATTTGGAAGTGTTTTTCGTTTCTTGAGTCTTTTTTGAAATTAAGGCCCCAAACCCATCTTGTGACTTGCCTCAGCTTAAAGACTATTGGGGTCAGCTGACACCCCCATCCCCATACTATCGTGGGTCAGCCTGGATGGCTTCCTTTGCTTAACCTGTCTCTGGGCCTGGCCTTCTTTCCCTTGGGAACTTTGAAGACCATGGAAGACAATTCACGAGAAAGCTCCTTGAAATCTGAAGCACTGCCAATCAGTGCTTCTCTGCACCCCACGTGGAGACTTAACAGAGGTGGAGGCTGGGATGATGCTAAACATCGCACAGCGCGCAGGGACAGCCCCTCACATTGACGAATTAGCTGGTCCAGGTGCCTGTAGGGCAGAGGCTGAGAGACCCTGCTCTAAACTAAGAGAAGAGGTTGCTTTTCCAAGTGATTGTCTCATTTGGGTCTGCTGCTGCTTCGATTGAAGGGTTGAACTGGCAGTCATTGACTTTTTCCCCCCGTGTTTTTAATACATTTTTCTCCACGCTACAGTGTCAGCCGTAAAGAGAGCCATGGGCCTCCCTGTAATACTTGATACGTTGTCCACCTGACGCCGTATCAGGCACTTCCCCGCTGCTGTGCACAGTGTTTTCAGAAGTGCAGGAGGGGGGAGTTCCCTGGCGGTCCAGTGGTTGCGACTCGGGTGCTTTCACTGCGCTTTCACTGCGTGGCCTGGATTCAGTCCCTCACTGGGGAACTCGGATCCCATGAGCCCCGTGGCCAAAAAAAAAAAAAGTGCACGAGAGAGAGGGGAATGTTTTGGTATGGTTTTACAACCACATCAACACTGCTTTCAGGACACCTGACTTCATTGTTAGGGACTCACACTCAAGCCTTCCAGAGACTCTTTGATTCACTGGGTTGAAATGACCCGTGTACACATACACACTGATAATACAGTAGTTATTCCTTAGTTGTGCTGTAACTGAAACTATGTATCAGTATTTTAAGGCACAAGACTAAGCACCTAGATTGTGATAGCTGGACTAGCTCTGCCAAAAGTGGATCGAGACCCACGGTTTGCAGGGTGTGCGTGCCACCCCCAGGGTGTTCACAGGACCATGTTGGCATGCGCTGTTAGGGCTCTTTGCCTGCTGGCAAAACCTCGTGTGAGCTCCTTAAGTGCAGCGTTGCCATTTCTTGAAGGTTGGTGTCCGAGGAAAAGACATAGTTGTTCTTGGTGTGGAGAAGAAGTCAGTGGCCAAACTGCAGGATGAAAGAACAGTGCGGAAGATCTGTGCTCTGGACGACAATGTCTGCATGGCGTTCGCAGGTAAGTCTGGGGCCCGTGCTGTATTTCTCAGTCTCCTTGAACAGTGCTCTGAAGGTTAACCTGGTGGAAGGGCTATTGAGGGACGTGAAAATTGGGTAACCTGAATCATTCAAAAGAAAGGGCTGGCCTTCAAAGAAGAGGGCTGGCCACAGTTGCAGCGGGGAGGTCCTCCCCAGGAGGCTGAAGCATAGGGGCCAAATGATTAGACACTCCAGGGATGAGGCGCTGTGCTGTCGCCTCCATTGCTGCTGGCAGGAGAAAGGTCAGCTGTCACAGCTAACTGTGCGCCCGTGAAGTGGGGAGAGCTGGACAGCACCCTACTCTCGGGATGTGCCGTATGTTCTTGCACTTCTGGGTTTTCATTTGTTTCCTTCCTCAGCGGGGAGGTCAGTTTACCTAAACTAGAGATTGACTTGCTTTGTCAAAAAATTAGCGTGTTTACAGCCTATGTAAATACACACAGCTCCTCGTACACGCAGCTTTCTCAGAGAAGCTCCCAGAGGCTGCTGGTTCTGCTGTTGGTCACTCAGAATGATCTCGGTGCTGGGTATCAGAGGACCGGCCAAGGGTAATTGCTGTTCACTCACGTGATCTGCGCTGGCCTCGATGATTGGCCGGACCAGCGGTGGCTCAGGGGGAGCTCTCTTTGTGTCCGTTGCAGGCCTCACTGCTGACGCAAGGATAGTCATCAACAGGGCGCGGGTGGAATGCCAGAGCCACCGGCTGACCGTGGAGGACCCGGTCACCGTGGAGTACATCACACGGTACATCGCCAGTCTGAAGCAGGTGGGTGTGTCTGCCTGCCGTGGCTCTGCTCGTTACGAGCAGTCACTGCTTTGTCGTGGGGTGTCCTGCCGCATTGCCTCACGTGGCCGCACACGTCACTGTGGGGAGATTAGACCATACTTTTCCACGCAAGTGGTCCTAGCCTTGATTTCTCTATATGTGTAATTTGACCATCATTTATCCTTTTAAGTGGCACTTGTTGTGTTATTTAGTAGCATGGGGCAGTCCAGACTCATATTTCCAGAGGGAAATGATGTGGTTCTTGTCCTGTCATTTTGAATGACGTCACCAAGCAGTTGGGAGGGGGCAGAAAGCCACGCCCACTCTGGTGAAATCTTAAGTCACCTGTGAACCAAAATGTGTAGCCAGATTGTGTCTGCTGTCAAAATAATTACAAGTAGCCCCAGCTGTGCTTCATGATGCAGTTCTGGTCTTTTCTGAGAATGAAAATGCAGCAAGAGAAGGAGGAGTGCTGAAAACCACGGGCTCCTTTCATTTCTCACCTGAATTGCAAATAACCTGAACGTGGGCTTAATTTATTTTCATCCCTTCGTTAAAAGGTGTGTTTGGAACATCATGTGGATTTTACTTGTGGCAGTTAAAAGCTGTGTTTGGAACATCATGTGGATTTTACTTACGGCAGGTTCTGGGGGGCCTTCACGCCAAGGCAGCAGTGTCACTGTGTCTCTTTCTCCACTAGCGCTACACACAGAGCAACGGGCGCAGGCCGTTTGGCATCTCTGCCCTTATTGTGGGTTTTGACTTTGATGGTACTCCCCGACTCTATCAGACTGATCCCTCTGGCACGTACCATGCCTGGAAGGTGAGTCCCTGACAAAACAGAGGCGCTTTGTTTTGGGCCATCTTGCCAGTAGAAGCGGCTTTGGAGGCCACTGGGACCTTGAGCTGTGGCCTCATCCTATACGTAGGTGGGTGCGCGTACACAAGTGTTCACGACACACTTGTGACATGGGAGCTGAGAAGTCGTTAAGCGTTGCTTTTCGGGAGGAGAGGACAGTGAGGTGTAAGGATATGTGGTGCAGTCAAGTTGCCCACGTGTCTTTCAGAATCCTTCTTGGTAGGAATCAGCACCAACTCCACATAGCCCTTTGCAAAAAGAAGCCATGGGCCAGGGCCTGGAGTATAGGCCCACCTCCCACCAGGCCGCCCCTCACCATAGCACATGGGAGCAGGGTGGCACTGGCTGGGCCACGGGGATGGCGGTGGGGGTCGTTTTCTTGGGCTGGCTCTGGATTGTCACACTCTGTGCCGTGTAACACCCATCCCTGTTTCAGGCCAACGCTATAGGCAGGGGTGCCAAGTCAGTGCGTGAATTTCTAGAGAAGAATTATACTGACGAAGCCATTGAAACAGACGACCTGACTATTAAGCTGGTTATCAAGGCCCTCCTGGAAGTAAGTCTGTGTTCGAAATCTGGGCAATGTATTGAAGATGCACACGCCGTGGTACTGGTACTTGGGCTGGGCAGAAGGGACAGCGCAGAACGGAGCAGCTGATGTGTGCGCAACAAGGAGGTGGTGAGGGTGCCAGCCGTAGCACCAGGCACTGCTCTGGGGCTGGATCAGCTCCTTATACGTCTGGGCAGTCCAGGCACCGAGAGGCTAGGTGGCTTGCCCAAGTGCTCAGCCTTTCTGAGGCTTGAGCTACTGCTATAGAGTCAGGGACTTAAGAAGCGCTGGGAATAATGGGTGGAAGCCGTCCTTAGAGGTGCTAGGGGGTGAAGCCAGAGGCAGAGGGGGTCCAGACGCCCGGGCTTAGTGGTGGGAAAGGCTGTGAACCGATGGGAGGGCCGTGAGCACACCTGCTGTGCAGGAGGAGGGACCAGCAACCCCGCCCAAATCCAGCTGCCTTAAGACAGGAGGGTATCGCAAAGCACTGGCCACATCAGTGTGCAGCTAGGACACACGCTTTGGGTATTGGGACCCCGCTGCCCCACCCTCTCCCCTTGTGTGGCAGTGCTGGGTTCAGGCTCACAGGGCATGTAAGGGCGATGTTTGGTCTTGAGGTGGGTGAGGCATCTAACGCTCTTTTCTCCCCTCCGAGGTGGTTCAGTCAGGCGGCAAAAACATCGAACTTGCTGTCATGAGACGAGATCAGCCCCTCAAGGTAATCACCAACTTGGTTTGCTGTCCTTACCTATGGAGTGTCCCCAGTGGTCAGGGCAGGGGTAATGCACATCAGGGCCATTGTGCTGTGGCTTTAGCCCTAAGAAAGGTTCTTTCCAAGGATCCCCACAAATGAGTCGAAAAGCAAACATTCGCGTGGTGGAAACCTCCGCTGTGCACGTTTGCTTCTGCTTTATAATCATCACGTACACATCGGTTCCAGCTTGTTCCCTGGGACACAGGCACGCGTGGCCTCGCTCCTATAGAAGCAGCTGGAGGGGGCACCTGGGGCCCATGTCCGGGGGTCCTTGTGCGGCTAACCACACACTGTTCCTTTGATAGATTTTAAATCCTGAAGAAATTGAGAAATATGTTGCTGAGATTGAAAAAGAAAAAGAAGAAAATGAAAAGAAGAAACAAAAGAAAGCATCATGATGAATGAAATTTTGCCTGTAGCGATTTTTAAATTCAAATCATGGCTGATTTTCCAAATGACATGTAGGCATTTCTGTCCCCTTTATCCATACTGTCCAAGTGTCCTACAATAAACTTCCCTGTTTTTTAACCTTTCCTTTAGGGGTTAATGTATCCTTTAGGTGTACTGATAGCTCTTTAGAATGCTCGCCTTGGGTCTCTGGAGCAATTCCTCCCAGCTCCTCGCCAGGCTCTAAGACAAGGCAACGGCCGAGTGGGGCTCCTCCCTTGGGGTCTGTGGGAAGGCTTTACGGGGTCCACACTGCTGTAGACAGGTGCTGTGGTTGCAGAAACTCAGGGTTTCTCCCATTCAGGAGTTCTAAACAGAATAACTGTTTCTTCTTACGCCTTTGTTCGAGTCCTTAATGAATGTATGACGTCAGGACACGAGGACAAACAGTGCTCAGTTTACATCTTTAGCTCATTTTGCAGAGCAGTAGCTGTGGAACTTGTCTTAAATTTCTGGTTCTAGTAGATCAAGTCAACACTCCTCCTGTTTTCTACCTTAAGACTTCCGGTGCTGGCTATTTCCTACCCTCCCTCACTTTTTAGCCAGAAATATTACCTTTCTTTTAGCTTCCAGTCTACAGCAGGGTGAGTCATGGTCCTAAGCTTTGCGTTTACAGAAGAACCCTAACCACCCTTCTCCTGCACAACTCTGCTGCTTCTCAGGAGGCCCTGCCGCCAGCCCTGGTGATGGCGTTGCTTTTTGGCTTCCTTTGCCCCAGGAGAACTCACAAAAGGCTTCTTAGAAGAGTCCTTGGGCTGGTTGTTTCTTCTGACCACAGTGGTTGGTAGGACTCCAACGCCAGGGCTCTGCTCTCTGTCTACAGCTTCTCTTGTACTGGGTTCTCATTCAATGGCAATATATACTTCAGGCTTCTAAAGAGGACTAGTGTATCCCTGGCGGTCCAGTGGTTAGGACTTGGTGCTTTCACTGCTGAGGGCCCAGGTTCAATCCCTGGTAGGGAAGCTAAGATCCAATAAGCCACGCGGCACGGCCAAAATAAATAGGGGTAAGGAGGCCCAGATGTATTTTAAACTTAGCCTAAAGTATCTAATCGTCACAATGACTGTCAGTTTAAGTTTTAATAGCAAGGTTAGTCATAGGTGGTAAACTGTGACTTAACTATATTTAGAATCTCTAACAGAAATTAGAGAAATACCTGTTTAGCCTGAGTGCTGAGTCACCTGCCGATGCAGGGGACGCGGGTTCGTGCCCCGGTCCGGGAAGATCCCACATGCCACGGAGCGGCTGAGCCTGCGCGTCCGGAGCCTGTGCTCCACAACAGGAGAGGCCACAACAGTGAGAGGCCCGCGTACCGCAAAAAAAAAAAACAAAACAACTACCTAGTTTAGAATTAGTGCTAAAGCCAGTTGTGTGTAGCAGATCAGCTATGGAAGGTTTTTATTTTTAATTGGTATTTGCTAAGAGTTTGTTAAATTCTGAAACTACCAGCAGTGCTCAGGATCTGTTGGAGAGTGGTAGACAGCCCGGAAAAGGAAGCTGGCCAGAACACAAGGCTGCATCCAGATGTAACAGGCCAACTTGGCCTGCTCTCTGGTCCTCCTCTCAGCCTGAATCACTCACAGATGGCCAGGTGGGCCTTAGTCCTGAGATTGCTTTTTAAAAATCACCTGGAGGACTTCCCTGGTGGTGCAGTGGTTAAGAATCCGCCTGCCAATGCAGGGGACATGGGTTCGAGCGCTGGTCAGGGAGGATCCCACATGCCGCAGAGCAACTGGGCCCGTGCACAACTGCTGAGCCCACGTGCCACAACTACTGGAGCCCATGCTCCACAGCAGGAGAGGCCACCGCGAGAGGCCCGCGCACCACAACGAGGAGTGGCCCCCACTCAGCACAACTAGAGAGAGCCCGCGCACAGCAACGAAGACCCAACGCAGCCAAAAATAAATAAATGAATGAATTTATATTAAAAAAAAATCGCCTGGAAACCCACTGCAATGAAATTACATGCTTTCAGTCTGAAACCAGCCAAGTCTTGGCTTTTCTCTGTAGTCCCAGGGTCCAGCCCTGTAACAGGTTCTAAGGCATCAACAACATGAAAGTTCTGGGGAGCTTGGAAGCTGTATTATGGCAGCGAAGGGGCCACTTCTGAAGCAGGTTCTCTAAACTAGTGTCCAGAGTATCCGGAAAGCAGCACCACTCACCCCGGGAGGGTGGCTCTCAGCAACCTAGGGCCTGGCTCATTGCCCTGTACCCAGACTGGCCAGGTCTCACTCCAGAGTGCCAGATGTCCCCCAAATCTGAACTGCACACAACACCTACCTTGGGACAGGCACGTGAGCCATGATGTAACTCGGGCAACAGAGTCAACAGGATTATTTATTTCCGGAGCAGAGAAGAAGAGAGTTTTCAAGGTTTGCATGTTTGTTTATAATTACAAGCTTACATTGCTCGGAACAGAGCAGCGCGTTGCTATGTTCTCCTAATTCTTAGCCATTAACTCCTACAAAAATAAACCTAAGCTTTTACAGTAACTTAACTGATACAGAACTAAAACCGTTCCGCCTACTTAAAGGGATTTAGTTACCAAGGCGCTTATGCTCACCACGATGCCCTGTCAGAGGGACGCATGCTTCTACTGAAGGTCTGATCCCTTTGCTCATGCAACAAATTTATATTCCCCACCCTCCCTCCACCCACCAGTAAAACAAAAACACAGAACTATTTACAATTGAGAGGAAATACGCTCTCGGTCAACGGACCTTGCAAAAAAAAAAAAAAAAAGACTGGCTCATTTCCAAGTGGATGAGACACCGAACAGTGTTCGGCCAGAGTCCAACGCTGACTGGCCTGGGTCAGGGACTGGCAGGGAGAAGGCAGGAGGGAGAGGGGCGCCGCAGAGGAGCTTGTCCTGGGTGCTCACCCCCAGCCCGGATTCCTATGGAAGCCACACTCCAAGTGACAGCTCCCAGCTCCCTCCGGTTCAGGGCCCCGTCCTAAGCCTCCAGCACCACCGACCCTGCCCTCTACCCTACCTTGACGTCAGGGTCGTCTGGTTTGCTTCTACAACATGATGGTGGGACACCCCACTTTCCATGCCCTAGGCACCCCCCATGCCCCCGTGCTGGCCACGCCTGGCTCCTAGGCCCCGCCTCTGGCAGTGGGTGCCAGGCCAGCAGCACCAGCGGCCAGTTGGATTACAGAGATGCGCTTGGCTGCCGCATTTGCCAAATGGGATTTGGTTCCACGTTAAAAATCAAAGCTGTCCAAAAGTCACAAAGTGAGGATCACGCTTTCGCTCTAGAAACCTTTCTGCAAAATACCAAAACCTTAGCGTCAGGCTGCACACAACTAAAAAGGAAAAATAGGCCAAGATACCTCAAAGAGGTTTCCCACATACACGTCCCCCCAAAAAAGTGGTTCTAACTCGGACCATGTCCAAGTTCAGTTCAGTCCAAAACATAAGCAGTAGCATGGGAATTTTCCAAACTCAGTAAACAAAGTGACCCACGTCTCCCGCAGTAAGTGCAGCGTTTTCCAACATTCTCGTAGACACAGTCTGGCGTCTGTGCCGCTTCAGCAAGAGCCTGCGAGGAGGAGACACAACACCTAGTGAGCACATCCAGGCAGCTCCCCAGCCCGAGCCCAGCACCGTGAATGAAGAACGGGGACTGCTGAAC